CAACCCTGTAGGGTTTTTGAGGCAAGAGACGTTCAGAGGTGGTTTGCCATTGCCTGGCTCTGCGGCACAACTCTGGTATTCCTTGGAGGTCTCCCGTCCAACTACTAGCCAGAGCCAACCCTACTTCGCTTCCGACATCTGATGAGAGCAGGCAAGCCTGGACTATCCGGGTCAGTGCATTGGTAACCCTACTTGAGGCTAAATATCCAACTAGACACTTCACATGACTGGAGCCCCAGTACATTTTTATTGGTAAATAGCAGCCGTGACATAGGATGATTAGTACTGGGGCCATGGTGTAGGAGAAGAAGGTTAAATCAGCAATCCTTGAAGCAGGGTAGTGGCAGCATGTTTGTAATTTAACCAAGTGTCCAGAGTCAGACCTCCCACCCTCACACTTACCTCCAAGGACACAAGAGGCCTCCAGACCGTGCCAAGGAAACTGTCTAGGGAGGGCGGCAGAAGCCCCATGTGATGTTGCAGGAGCAGCTTCCCAGCTTGCCATGATGCCCAGAAATGCCAGGTAGGCCAGGGGGCAGCAGCAGAGGCACAAGGCAACAAGGGTGGCAGAGAAGCAGCAGAACCCACCACATGCAATAGCCCTTTCCTCATCTGTTGTGGGAGCCAGGAGGGCATCTTTGGAAGGACAGGGCAGGCTGCAGTGACTTCCTTAGGCCAGCAGGGGACAGGACAGAAGCCTTCTAAGGCTTGGGGCAGGGGAAAGAAGGCTTTAACATTTGCCTGTACCATTTCCCTGGCCTCCATTGGTCCCCTAAGATGAAGATTGGCCTGCGAAAGGATAACTAAAGATTGCCTGCATGTTGCTTGTATGTTTCCCCCAGTGGTGGGGAGAGAGCTAAATCCTACAACACAGTGGTCTTGTCCCCACTCTTGCAGGATTCACGGATCTAATGATCAAACTAATGGTCTGACCATCAGTTTGTGTACCTGGAAAGGACTTTCATTTCCTCCTCCTGCCAAAGGAGTCTTAACAGGAAAGGTGTGGGGCCCGTCTGGTGGAAAACTTGGAAGCCGTGTGTGTGTGTGTGTGTGTGTGTATGTGTGTCTTATGTGTTTAGAATTAGAAGAAGAGAAGAAGAAGAAGAGATTGGATTTATACCCCGCCCTTCACTTGGAGTCTCAGAGCGGCTTACAAGCTCCTCTCCCTTCCCCTCCCCACCACAGACACCCTGTGAGGTGGGTGGGGCTGAGAGAGCTCTGACACAAACTGCTCTTTCAGGAACAGCTGTGCCAGAGCTTGTGACTGACCCAAGGTCACATCAGCAGGTGCAAGTGGAGGAGTGGGGGAATCAAACCCGGTTCTCCCAGATTAGAGTCCGCACACTTAACCACTACACCAAACTGGGTGGGGAATGAAGAATTATGATTGTTCCCTTCTCAAGTCATGTTGTAGAGGGCTTAGGTTTTTGTGCTGCATGTGGCAGTATCCGTACAACGTGTTTTTCCGATGATGGCTTGCTGGCTTGAATCTCATCTCTACGATTTCTGTAGCCTGCTGCTGTAGTCTCTTCTGCCTCATCCAGCCGTTCCCTGGGCACCTAATCCGCTGGGTTCTTCTGTCATTTCCCTTGAATTTCCCTTCTCTCTCAGATAAAATGTTGGTTTGTGGAATGGCAGGCACCACTGGGACCCCTGTGCTCTCATGCTGGCTTCGCTGACAAGACCCTCCCTTCTGTTTCTGCACTGATGGTTGAGGTTTATAGTTATCAGGGTTTTCCGTGCATTTGTTA